GGAGACGGACAGGGTCACGGGCTCTCGCGCTCCACCGCGCCGCGTACTCACAATCAAGTGCCGAGCACGAGTGTGTCTGGAACGAGTCATGTTCCGCTTCGAACGAGTCCCTGAGGAGCTGGGCGGTTTGGAAGAGGGGTGAGCGATAGACGACCCAGGACATCCACCCCTTCTCTCTTGCCGGGCACAGACTACATTGGTCCCCTCGCCCTCTTCCCCCTAGTGCTCGGGGTTGTATACTGTATTTTCCCAAACACTGCAACACACCACTCACCCCAGGCTGCAGCATTTGCCAGTGCTAGTCAAAGTTACATGGTTATTCGTACAAGTGCTATCACAGTCTTCGTCAGAAAGCTCAATTCCCGGTAGCTTTTCAATTGGCACCGAACATTTACTACAAACTGAAAAGTGTCAGAGAAGGTGTTGGCAAAGCAATCTTCAGAAAGATTATTTCTTAGAGACATTAAACACTTTCAACGCTAGATGAAGTATTACGTTTATTAACTGAAAAGATGACTATCCAGTTAATAAAAGTAGCTTATTTTTTTTTTTTTTTGCATTTGCAGCTTTGGAAGATTTTCAGTGCTGGTACTAATCAATAAACTTCTGTTTTCCTGAAACCTTTACAGCAAATAGCTTGAGTGCGCTCTGGGTAACTAATCACATCTTTGGCTGGGGCTCTCTGCATGCCTCTGTCCATCACATGGTCTGTCCACTCCAGAGGAACTGCAGGTACCTATTTTACATCTTGGGCCTGGACTTTATTACTTGAAGAACCAGTTGCTTCCACTACCACAGTTAACAGAAGTATCCCCAGCTTAATATTATTCTGTTTCTGCTTACATATTTGTCAGCCAGAAATTTTCCCTCTGCTACCTGGATGAGAAGAAAAGGTGAGGTGGATATGGTTGCTGTGTGTGTGTAAACAGTGAGTTGTGAGGACAGTAGTCAATCAGTGCAAGGAATGATACAGAGAACACACTAACACCAGCCCCCCCCCCAACTTATTAGTTACCAGTTAGTAACCATGAAGCATCTTTGTATCTGCCACTAGCAGAGACCATGGTGGTTTGAATACAGGTTAGTATGGTCCACTCTAAACTCCCATGGTGGGATTGATCAGAATAGGAGTCTCTCAGGTGCCGCAGAAAGCAGCTTTGGGAATTCAGTAGATGACACCCTTCTGGGTTAGTGATTAATCAATACCCAGTAGTGGTTTAGTGCACAGTGCTGTTGAAGGTGTTCTCTTTCACATGGGAGGTGAAACTCTAACTCAGGTAATTGCGTACTGTGTACTCAGATTTGCCATGCATTTCCAAATGGAAAGACAAGCTTAAAAGCTGTGTGATGTGGCCATAAAGGAACCTGAAAAAAGAGTCATCAGTTTTAACAGAAGAGGAACAAGTTTGTTCAGCACATAAACGTATGTCCTAAAACAGCCTATCTGAAAAAGATGATGTATACAATTCCCCCTTCCCCAAATCCTGCAGGTAATACAACTAGTTTATCTTCAACCTTGGTAGCAAGAGTGGGAGAGGTGCGATAGGACTCCAGTGGCTGTCAGGGTTTCAATTATCCCATCCTCTAAGCCTGCTCAGAGCACATCTTGAAAAAAGTAGCCGATACCAGCAGCTGTCAGTGCTTTGTATACACTAGCTTATCAACACATTGTTGATATCACTGAATTAGTCATAGCAACTCTGAAAAAGTTAAGTACAAAAACGGTCTACGTCTAGACTGGCATGATTTTCTGCAAATGCTTTTAACGGAAAAGATTTCCGTTAAAAGCATTTGCGGAAAAGAGCGTCTAGATTGGCACAGATGCACTTTTTGCGGAAAAGCGTCCGTGCCAATCTAGACGCACTTTTGCGCAAAAAAGCCCTGATCACCATTTTCGCGATCGGGGCTTTTTTGCGCAAAACAAATCTGAGCTGTCTACACTGGCCCTTTTGCGCAAAAGCTTTTGCACAAAAGGACTTTTGCCCGAACGGGAGCAGCATAGTATTTCCACAAGAAGCACTGATTTCTTACATGAGATTGTTAGTGTTCTTGCGGAAATTCAAGTGGCCAGTGTAAACAGCTGGCAAGTTTTTCTGCAAAAGCAGTTGCTTTTGCGGAAAAACTTGCCAGTCTAGACACAGCCATAGTGTATAGGAAGGTACCTTCAGGCTTCCCTGTTACTCAGTTTCACTTCCTGTTTTGTACAGCTGCTGTGTTCCACCTCCAGAGTGACTACATATCAGTGAGAAGGAATGTGACCTTTTGATAGGCTTTGGCAATCTCAGAGTGGATACACAGAAGCTTATCAGGCATTAAGTGTTGTGGTGGTCGTAAGTTAATACATCCTGAGATCCTTCTATATCAGAGAATATAGATTTTATTTTATGATGCTTCAAATATGCATATGGGAGTGAGAGAGACACCAAATCATTAATGTAACTGATCCTTCCCAATGAATTAGAAGTCTAAGTCTATAGCTTCATACATTTACAGCCCTGCAAATTGTATTAATTGAATTCTTTTTGTTTGTTTGTCTGGATAATATCATTTATACAGGTAATGTCAGCATTTTTCATGCAATGTAGTTTCTTTGGCACTCTAACTATTACCATAACTTTTTAAAGATTTTATTCACTGACTAAAAGTAACTTTAACATTACTTAAGTGGAACAGCAGTAAATTAATTTTGCACTGCGCGCACACTGTTCAACATCCAGGATTTTTCCTGGAGTGCTTGCTCCATGAGCAGAGTTGATTTCTCAGCTATCAACGGATTTTCCATAGTCAACAGATTTGTCCCTTCTTTAATAAAATCATTTGTAGTCAGTGCATTTTCATTTAAAATACAGTTCATTTGCATCATAGAGAGAAAAAGGTTCACAAGACTGAAACCTTCTCTGGAAAAATTCCAAATGAAAACAAAAAGTTTCCATGAGTAAAGGCTCCAGGGCCAGGCTTACACTATGAGTTATAACAGAGGTGGGCAATAGTTTTCATAGGGGGTGCCACTCCATGAATTTTAGTAAGTTGTCAGGGGCTGGCTCCAGGCCCCAACAAGGGGTGGGGCTTTAGGCAGAAGGGATTGGGGCTCAAGAGGAAGAGTGTGTGTGTGTGTGTGTGTGTGTGTGTGTGTGTGTGTGTGTGTGTGTGTGTGTGTGTGTCAGGGACAGACAGACTGTGTGTGTTCGTGTGAGAGACAGAGGCTTTGTGACACCGATGTTGTGTGTGTGTGAGAGAGAAAGACAGCAACTGGGAGAGTGTGCATGGCACAGATTAAGTGTGTGGCACAGACTATGGGTGTGTGACAGAAAGTATGTGTGCTGACGAGGGGTGGCCCGTGCATACAGGCCGACTCCGCTGTCGCCTAGGGCGCCACTTTCAGCGGGGCGCCCAATGATGACGTCACACCACTGAGGGCCGTGTAGGCGGGGGCGCTGATCGCGTGTTCCGCCTGGGGCGCCAGCGGCCGGCAGCCCACCTCGGGCCGCACCTGGTGCTGACTGCTGCTGGGTAAGTTTCTCAGAGATGTCGGGAAAGCAGTCTTGTTTTGTTGTCTCCCCCACCACTACTCCATAGAGATGGGATATATGGGAAGGAGCAGGGAACCAGGGTGGGGGGAGGAGGGAAGGGAGATGAGAGTGAGAGTGCAACTGGCTGCTGGAGAAATCTTAGAAACAGTGCTCTGCCTCTTACAGCAAGCACTCATCTCAGTCACTCACCATACTTCAGTCTGGAGCAGCTCCATTGTGTGTCCCTCTGTCCCTGGCCCCTGCTGTGCAAAGATGGGGTACAGGGGCATCGCGGAACCCCTAATAACAGTCTTATATATGGAGCTGAAAAAGAAGACCACAAATAAGTAAGGGTAATAAACAAATGCTAAACAAGGTCATGAGATCAACATTTA